AGAAGATGTTGGAATTAAAGTACCCATATCAAGTTCATACTGTAGACTGCTCTTTTTCTCTTTCTGTGGGACCAAACTATCCCAGATGTCCAAGTAGGAACCTTATATTGCTGTGGTCTGCCAGGCTTTGGGTTTCGCTACATGAACACACAACCACAGTAGCGCTTTCAGATAACTTAGAATCCTCTCTTATTTCCTACACATTACTGTGTTTGTGCCTTCTTCATTTTAAAATTTATTTATTTATTTATTTATTTATTTATTTATTTATTTATTTTAGAGATTTTCGCTATAGGGCATATGCACTCATCAGAGAGACAGGGAGACAGAAAGTGAGAAATCACCCTCCGGGGAGGATGGCCATGTAGCAATCCATTCTCCTCCATTCTCCTCTCGGGATTTTGGGCACACATGCACATGGGCTCGGCGTGAGTTTTAAGCCACTGGGTTCAGAACTCGAACTGTGGTTAACTACATGAGAGTCCAGCAATGTAACCATTACACCATCTGCTGGTCCCAAACATTTATTTATTTATCTATTTATATGTTGTCATTTTCAAGCTATTGTATCCAGGACTTGAGCTGCAGTTGGCCATGGGGGAATCCAGCACCTTAGCCACCATGTGTTAGTATCAATTGCCTTCTTTCTACTATTTTTTAGTGGTTCTTTCTTCTCTCACAGCTCTCAGCTCTGAAACTTGCATTTTTCTGTCCTTTTTTTTTGGAAGGAGCTGGTTCATTTAACTGGAAAACCTCTACCCTCAGGTGCCTTTTCTCTTATCTCCAGGTCCTTAGGTCATATTGGCTGTCCTCTGTAAATTTGAAGAATTTGTAGTTAAGGAGACATAATTTAGGTAAAGTGCTATAGACCTTTTATTAGAAAGTTAGTATTCTTGGGACCAGCAGTAAGTGTAATGGCTATGTCGCTGGACTCCCATGTAGTTGACCGCGGTTCGCTTCCCAGACCCGGTGGCTTAAAACTCACGCTGGGAGCATGTGCATGCGTGCCCAAGATCCCGAGAGGAGAACGGAGGAGAAGGGATTGTGGTGTGGTCATCCCCCCTGAGGGGTGATTTCTCGCTTTCTGTCTCTCTGTCTCTCTCTGTCTGTCTCCTAGCACACACACCCTATAGCAAAAAAACCTCTCCAAGAAAAAAAAAAAAGAAAGCATTCTTGGGGCCAGCGGGTGGTATGGTGGTTAAGGTGCTAGACTCCCACATGGTTGACTGTGGTTCGAGTTCCAGACCTGGTGGTTTACTTTCTCACTTTCTTCTTTCTATATTTGTCTTTCTCTCTCTTTTTCTCTCTCTCTTTCTGATGAGCGCATGTGTTTTGTAACAAATTTTTAAAAATAATGATAATGGTAATAAAATTAAATAAATTTTTTTTTTAAAAAAAGAAGGTTAGCATTCTTAATCTAAGAGTTTATTAAAGGCTAGTAGATGGATGAGGAACTAGTGGATTAAATCTAATTGAACTTCTAAAAACCTTTTGAGTTTTTAAAATTTTTTCTTTAACTTTTTTAAAAAGAATTATTCATTTAATTTTATTCATTCATTTAGTCATTTTCATTTGACCAGAGAAAGACAGACACACAGAGAAAAGGAAAGTGAGAGAGCAAGCCACCAGGTCTGGGACTTGAACTGTGGTCGGCCATGTGGGAGTGTCCAGCGCCTTATTTCTTTCCCTCTCTCTCTCTCTCTCTCTCTCTCTCTCTTGTCTTTCTCTGGTCAAATTAAAATAAAGTTAATGAATAAATAAAATTAAAATAGATAATTCTTTTTTTAAAAAAAGACTTATTCATTTTATATATTTATTTATTATTTTAAAAATTTTTAAATAAAGTTTATTTATTATTTGTTTAATTTTATTTATTCATTCATTTATTTTAACTTGGCCAGAGAGAGACACAGAGAAGGAAAGAGAGAGAAGGAAAGTGAGAAAGGAAGCCACCAGGTCCTGGATTCAAACCATGGTCAGCCATGTGGGAGTGTCCAGCACCTTAACCACCACACCACCTGCTGGTGCCTGTTAGTTTTAAATTTGGCCAGAGAGAAAGGGAAAGTGAGAAAGCAAGCCACCAGGTCTGGGACTAAAAATGCAGTTGGTCATGTGAGAGTCCAGCCCCCAATTTTTTCCTTAAATTTACCAGAGAGCACATGCACTCACCAGAGAGAGAGAGAGAACGAGAGAGAATGAGAAAGTACTCCTCATTAGGGATGGTTACACTGCAATTCCTTCACCATTTCTCCTTCCTTTTGGGGTTTTGGTCATGCATGCACACACGTGCTCAGTTGTTTTATAGGACGCTGGGTCCCAGACTGAAACTGCACAGTTGGCCATATCGGATCTAGCCATCTTAAGCACCACATCACTGGATGGCCCGTATTTTGTCATTTTAGACAGAGTCTCCTTATGTTCTCTATGCTGGCCTCAAACTCTCCGTCCTCCTGCCTCAGTCTCCCAAGTAGCGGCGATTACAGGCGCATGCTATGGTGTCCCCCACAGCTGAAGAAGTTTGCCAAGCAGAACAACTGTAGAGCAAAAGATACAAGGAAAAAGAAACTGTATCGGTCTCAAATAGCCAGTGTCAAATGAGTCAGACCCTGAGATGTGTTGCCATTTCCATCTGGCTATGCTGCTGGTGGGTCTGATTGCATGTCCCGTGATCTGACTCATATGATGCTAACTTTGGGAGATCAATAAACTGCCCTCCTTTTTTTCTCATAAAGACCAGCATTTAATAAGATATAGATACTGGGGTTAGAAGAGAAATATAATAAAATAAACTACATTTGAAAAGGTCTGCCTAATGAGGAAAACACATATATGAACATGATTATTTTGTGACCTAAGAAATGCTGTATTAGATACATAACCAGAAGAACTAGACGCTGGCACGCTGGTAGTCCCAGCTATTCTTGAGGCTGAGGCAGGATGATACAAGTTTGCGGTCAGTGTGTACAACATTGTCCTGAAACTCTGTCTCTTAAAAAAGAAAGAGAAAGGCCACAAGATGGTGTAGCAGTTACGTTGCTGGACTCCCACATGGCCAACCATGGTTTGAGTCCTAGACCTGGTGGCTTGAAAATCACACCAGGTGGGGTCAGTGGGTGGCATGATGGTTACGGTGCAGGATTTCTAAGTGGACGATGGAGGTTCGAGTCCTGGATTTGGCAGCTTACTTTCTCATTCTCCTTTTCTCTCTTTCTCTTTCTGTCTCTCTCTTGTCAAATTGAAGAATAACAATAAATAAATTAAATTAAAGAGAGCAAGATAACATAGGAAAATAAAAAAAAATATAATTTAAAAAAAGAAAACAAAAGAAAATCATGCTAGGTATGTGTGAGTGTGTGGCCAAGATCAGAAGGGAGAATGGAGAAGGCACTGAGCTGTGGCCACTCCCCTGGAGGGTGATTTCTCACTTTCCCTCTCACTGTCTCTGTTTCTTTCTCTCTCTGGCAAGCACATGTGCCCTAAGGCAAAAACCTTTTTTTAAATTTTTTTTTAAAAAAGGAGGGACCAGCAGGTGGCGTGGTATTGAGTCCCAGACCTGGAGGCTTGCTTTCTCACTTTCTCTCTCTCTCTCCTTCCCTTTATTTATTTATTTATAAATAAATAAATAAATAAATAAATAAAATAAACAAATAAAGTTAAATAAAATAATTCTAAAAAAAAAAGAAGGAAAAGAAAGAGAGACAAAGAGAGAAGAGATTAACACTATCTGGGTAATGAAAAGAGTCAGGGATGGTTTTTCAGAAGTGATATTTAAGATGGGACTTTGTAATGAATGATAAAGTTTTAAAATTAATTAATTAATTAAA